CTTACTGGTGTGTCTCCTGGTGTAGGAAAAAGTTTGCTGATACAATTATCTTGGATAGCAGCTAAGGCTAGGTAATTATTGGCACAGTAGCACCCACACATGCCTATAAATCACTAGATTTTAAATACTGGCTAGGTGGTGGCTACAAACAAAAAGGGCTGTCTGCAGAAGAGAATAGCAGTTAGCAAAGCCATCCATTGTCTCCTCTGCAGTCTGTTCTAATTATCTGTCTGTCTTAAGGTCTGGAGGCTTTGCTGAAGGTACACATTGTATGGAGCAAGCATGTGGGTATCATCTGCATACCCACGTGACTCTGGGACACAGGCTCTTGTAAGGTCATCATAAAAGACGGTCTCACAATCCAGTTCTAAGCCTGCGTCAAATTCCCGCTGGCTAATGAGTCTTTCACAGTCCGCATTTAACACGGACAGAAGTTACAATACTCTGTGCATATTCACATTGTCACACAGCCGCCATTGACAGCTTAGGTGAAGGTGGGGTGTTCTCTGCCTCTGAGGTCCGGTTTCCACATTCATTAAGTACATACAGCTGGTCCTCTAGGTATTGTCTGAAAACCTGTGATTTCAAGTGTTGAAAGGAAGTGATGGGTTATTCAACCCAACTGTCACTTTCAGCCACTTCACAAAATCACCTCTGAATACAACAAAGTGACAGCAGATTTCAAGATTCCAAGGTCTTCTCTGGTCAGTAAACGCATTTGTGTGACATATACACAGATGTAGAAATCAAGCTCAGAATCGATTTAAGACAGTTGGGGCAATAATGTTTCTTTTTTTTGCTTTACAGCCCCAAAATTTTTCCTGAACTTTCCTGGGGGTTCAAAGTAACACCGTAAGTTTAAGACTAAGGAAAAAAACACAAAATAAATGCTGGTCTACACTTACAAAAGCAAGTCTGTAAGTGACTTGCTTTAAATTCACACACACACACTCACAAACTGCTTGCTGAAGAGTAGATTTCGACTCATGGAGACCCCATGTGTTAACATACTAGAGCTGCTCTATAGAATCTTCTTGGCTGTCGTCTTTACAAAAGCTGATCACCAGTCATTTCTTCTGCAGCACTTCTGGGTGGGTTCTAACCACCCAAATTACAGGTGAGTAGTTGAGCGCAAACCATTTGCGTCCCCCCCTCCCCCCAATGGCCTCAAATCCACACTAGGCACGTGGATAATTTTTCTAAGGGCAAATTTCCTAGTTCACTGATTCCGATGCCCATGTTGTTGATGAGATAAAGGTAATATTGAAAATGACAGTGTTTCAGAAGCCGTCTCAAACTGCTTTTTTATTGCACACAATTAGCCAAGGAATGGAGAACTACTTTCTTTCTAATATAAAATCATCAGCCACAGAGCTGCAGTTGAAATTCATTGCAGTGATTTCAGCCAAGAACTCTGAACTTCTTCTTTTTACTTTCGGAAGGCTTATTTCTTTTTTCAGGAAATATCAGCACTACAGACTAATGGGCAAACAGTTACATTCGGGCCTCTGACTAGCTTCGAGGTTCAACAGAGATTTATGGTCTCAAGGGACTATAAAACCACACGATGACATCTCATTTTGAAATCTGTATTAAGGAAAGTGATGGGTGTGGTGTGACAGTGAACCCTGGCTGTTAGTGATTTTTCACACAAGTTCTGTACTTCAAAAAGGAGTTCTGAACTCCTGAGAAATTCTCCCACTAGCTGGGAGAACTTTCTCCCACTAGCTGGTCTCAGCGATAACTACCTGCCTGCTCCAAAACCCCACATCTCCTTCTTAATCGTAACCTAAGTATATTTGAATGTGTATGAGGAGGCTTCAAAAAGTTCATGGGTCAATCCCATTATCTTTTAATTCCTGTTTTCACAAACCTTTTGAAGCCCATGCCCCACCTACCCACCATGTCACTTAACAATATATATATAAGTTGTTATTAAGTGCTGGTGAGCCATTCTGAATCACAGCAATCTTGTAGAGGGTTTCCAAGACTATAAATCTTTTTAGAAGCAAAAAGCCTCATCTTTCATATATATGTTGTTATTGTTATGTACCGTGGAGTCGGTTCTGACTCATAGCGACCCTGTACAGGGTTTCCGAGGCTGTAAATCTTTACAGGAGCAGAACGCCTCATCTTTCTCCTGCAGAACAGCTGGTAGTTTCGAACTGCATATATATATATATTTGCTGTTGTTGTTGTTAAGTGCCGGCAAGTTGGTTCCAACCCATAGAGACCCTGAACAGGGTTTCTGAGGCTGTAAATCTTTACAGGAGCAGAAAGCCTCATCTTTCTCCCGTGGAGAAGCTGGCAGTTTTGAACTACTGACCTTGCAGTTCACATCCCGATTCGTAACCACTATGCTACCAGAGCTCCATACACACACACACACACACACACACACACACACACACACACACATATATATATTCTACTAAAAATGGGAATCAACATATATCTCTATCTCTATAGATGGAGTCCTGGTTACCAGAGTAGATTATGAGCTGGCTGCTAACTGCATGGTCATACCAGCCGCTCAGTGGAGAAAGATGGGGCTCTCTGCTCCAATACAGATTTACAGACTCAGAAGTGCTACATAGAGTTGCTCTGGGTCAGAATCGACTCGGTACACCACGATATATTGTTGTTGTTAAGTTCCATGGCGTGGGTTCCAACTCAGCCACCTTTATAGGATCTCCGAGGAGTGACTGGTGAGCTTGAACTGCACACCTTGTGGCTCAAACTGACCGGCAGTCCAGTCCAGCACATTAACCCTTAGTGCTGCAGGATAAGCACTGGACTGCTATCTGCAAGGTTGACAGTTCTTGATATATATATACACACAATATTGTTCATATATATATGTATGTATATATATGCATGTAAGGAGCTCTGGTAGCGTAGTGGTTACGAATCGGGCTGCGAATAGAAAGGTCAGGAGTTCGAAACTACCAGCTGTTCTGTAGGAGAAAGATGAGGCGTTCTGCTCCCGTAAAGATTTACAGCCTTGGAAACCCTGTTCAGGATCACTATGGGTCGGAACGGACTCGACGGCACTTAACAACAACAATATATGCATGTATATATGTATGCACGTATATATGTATGCATATATGCATGTATATATGTATGTATACATATATATGTATGTGTATATATATATATATATATATATATATATGGAGAGAGAGAGAGTTAGAGTCCTGGTGTGGCATGCTGGATCATAAGATTAGTTTGAACCACAATGTCAGTTGTTCAAACCCACAGACACTCCTTGGAAACCCTATACAGGATCACTGTGGGTCAGAACCAACTAGACAGCACTAAGCAACATATATATATATATATTTGTATGTATGTATGTATGTATGTATGTGTCTTTCTCTCTATATATATGGTTATGTGCCATGGAGTTGGTTCCAACTCATAGTGACTCTCAGAACAGCTGGTAGTTTCGAACTGCTGTTATATGAACCTTGAGGTTAGCAGCTCAATTCATACCCACTACGCTACCAGAGCTCAATGTATACTGGACTACAAAGTCAGTTTAATCTGCAAGGTTAGTGGTTCAAGCTCACTAGCTGCTCGTTGGAAACCCTATACAGGGTTGCTATGGGTTGGAAGTAACTCAACAGCACTTAACAACTACATATACACATATGGAGTCCTAGTGTGGCACTACAGGATAAAAACTCAACCTTGAACTACAAGGTTGACAGTTTAAACTCACCAGCCACTATAAAGAAACCTATACAGGGTCACAATGAGTTGGAACCAGCATGAGAGGCACTTACCAACAACATACATACATACATGTGTACACACACACATATATAGACACCTGGTGTGACACTGTAGGAATCTGTATTGACTGTGAATCACAAGGTCGGCAGTTCAAACCCACCAGTTGCTCCTCAAAAACTCTACACACACACATATGTTGTTGGTTATTGATATGTGCTGTAGAGTTGATTTCGACTCATAGCCACCTTGTATAGGGTTCCCAAGGCTGTAAATCTTTACGGGATCAGAAAGCCTCCTCTCTCCCGTAGAACAGCTGGTAGTTCTGACAGCTGGAACTGCTGACCTTGAGATTCCACTAGGCTACCAGAGTGTTCTCTCTCTCTCTCTCTCTCTCTCTCTCTCTCTCTCTCTATATATATATATATATACACACACTCACACACACACATACACACACACATACATATCGATATATATTTATGTGGTGGCTATGTGCCATGGAGTCGGTTCCAACTCATAGTGACCCTGTACAGGGTTCCCGAGGCTGTAAATCTTTACCGGAGCAGAAAACCTCATCTTTCTCCCGCGGAACAGCTGGTAGTTTCCAACTGCTGACCTTAAGGTTCGCAGCCCCATTCGTAACCACTATGCTACCAGAGCTGCTTATATATAACAGATTTATATCTCCTGTGCAGTGAATCAACTCTGATTCACGTAAGCCCAAATCACCACGTTGATAAATCTGCCTTCAACTTACAAAGCTCTCCCTCCATAGAGGAGACAAGCCACGTTTTCAATAGCAACAGAGGGAAGGGCAGCGGCAGGGAAATAACTGTTTACTTCCAGTCCCAGCTGACCTCTTCTGACCTCTTGGAAAGGACACCAAGCCAAGGAAAGGAAAAAGAGCTGGGGTTTCCCGGGAGTAGATTACTCTCTGGAAGGCGCCCAAATCGACCCCAAGAGCAGAGGTGAGAGCCGGATTCCGACCAGCCTGAAGACTCTCGGCTTGAAGTCTCATCGCGTGAAACTTCAGTCCAGCAGAAGGACCAGAAGGAAAAGGGACCCGCGTGGGGCTAAGGCGCGAACCCGAGTGTTCCTAGGGAGGGGCTGAAGAGCCTTTATTCGCTGCGCGGCGTCGCAGAAAGTTTTTCTGGCCTGGCCTGGGTCGAGGCTGAACTGCGGGGGCGCTAAGGTGGGGGCACATGCTAAATCGAGTGCGGGGGGCTTAGGGTGGGGCGGGAACCGGGCGCGGGCCTCACCTGTTCCAGCGGGCCACCTTCCTCCGGTAATAGCGCAGCGCCTCCTGGCTGGCCAAGAGCGCGTCCTCGGGTCCCCGGAGAGGCGGTTCCTCTGGGACTTGGTACAGCGGATGGGCGAAGAGGGCCTGCAGCTTGGAGCGGGGGCTAATAGGCTCAGCCCGTGGCTCAGCTGGGGAAAAGTTGCGCGCGGCAGGCCCGGGGTCCGAGGGGGCTGCGGCGGAGATGGAGGCCGAGGAGCGGCGGACGCAGGGACAGCCCCGCAGGTCCTCTCGCGACCGCAGCTGGCGCCGCACTTGGGGCCAGAGGTGGAAGTAGAGGTCGGCGGAGAGCAGCGCGCCCAGCAGCAGAAGGGTCAGCAGGCGGTCCCGGCGCAGCCCGGGCATGGCCCAGCCTGGGCGCAGGGCGCGGGGCAAGGGCGCCGGCGGAAGACGCTCCTGGGGTCCCGCGGGCCAGTCGTACACCGCGCGGAGGAGCCCACTTGGAGGGGTGCCTCCCCTGAACTTGGAGACCGGGTGCAGGGAGCGGCGGGGCTCGCGGCGTAGGCTGGCGTCCCTTCCCGGCTCAGAGTGGAGCCGAGGGGGTGGGGTCCCCTGGTCGTCCGGTTTTCGTGTCTTCTCTCCCGGGCACCGCCAGTCTGAGCGCCAGCTGCAGGTGACGAGCCCTCGGGCGGTCGTGGGCCGGAGCGCAGGGCGCAGGGCTCAGGCGATGGCTCTGGCCCCCAGGGGGAGGACTGTGGCTGCGGAGCCTGGGGCGGCTCTCCGGAGGATGCTGACGCCTCGGCTGTGCTGCAGGCGGAGGGGAAGCCCGTGCCCGGCGGTGGGAGCGGGGAGTTGGCGAAGCAGGGGCTCCTCCCGGTTGCTCTGAGCGCCGGGCGCCCGAGGCAGAGGTAGCGCGGGGCCTCCCCCCGCTGGCCAGGCGCGGCACCTCCGCCCACTCTTCGCTGGCACCTGCCTCTGGCGCAGCTTGCCAGTCAATTCCAGTCCTCCTGCCGCCTCTACCCTTCCACCTTTCCACCCCACCCACTTCTATCCAACCCCCCACCCCACCCCGCTCCCCACATTCGCTGCTCCCGCTCAGTTCACACACTTTGGGGGACTCAAGCAAGGGGGACTCAGGATTTGTGTTTTCATTTTCATTTTCTTTTCAGAAAAAAGGACATAGGTCCCGCATAGCTTCTCTTCAGTAAGCTTGGGGCTTGGGGTGGGGTGGGGGAGCGGGGATTGTGTTTCCTTTTTTTTTTTTTTTTTTTTTGGTGTTTTCCAGTCTATGCTGAGCACATGTCACATTCATAAATGTCCTGTGCCTGGCACGTAGTAGTTGCTCACGAAACACACACTTTAATGAATGAAATAGCTTGACCTTTAAAATCAAGGCACCGGTTTTACCTAGAATCTTGGAAATTTCCTTTTTGGATGGAGTTTCATCCTAGCGCTATACTTTAAAAAGAGAACATTTTTCCTTTACTGAAGGCAAGAGGGGCCTTCTGATGACGCCGCTCCTAACTTTTTGAGTTCAGCTTATTGTGAAAATAGTTCACCCAACTGTATCACTGTAGGACCACTACTAGACTTGCCCTGACATCCTGTGAGGTCATTTATACGCCCCCACCTCGTTTTCCTTGGAGGAAGCTGGAGGAGAGGGAGGAGCCCATCCCTGAACTTCTGACCTTCTGTTTCTTGACCTGATAGAATGTAGCTGCAGTTGTTTACCATGGCGTTTACTCAGACTCATAGCGTCCCACTTGTTGCAAAGTGCCATCAAGTTGGTTCTGACCCATAGCAACACTGTATAGGGTTTCCGAGGAGCAGCTGGTGAGCTTGAACCACCGACCTTGCAGTTCAAACAGCTTTGCAGTCTGGTGTATTGACCTACAGCGCCACACTAGGACAGAGTTTATGTTAATTCTAGTCTTTAACCACTCTCTCCCTTTCTCAGAGGTGCATGTTGTTGGTGCTCAACTGTTAGCCTAAAGGTAGGCAGTCTGAGCCCACTCAGCAGTACCAAGGAAGAAAGCCTTCGTAATTTGCTTACACCCAAGCTAGAGGGTAAACACACATTAACACCAGTGATGGGGAAGGCTGGTAAGAGGGAGGTTGGCAGAGGATGATGGCGACAGAGAGGTATGCAGGCATAAAGGGGATAGAGGTAAATACTGTTACGTATACAAGCCTGCAACGAGAATGTTCTATGTGTCATATACATAGACTGAAGGATATAGGAAGGACAGTAAGTAGGGATATACTTGCAAACAGATAAGGGTTTGCAGAAGCTATTTGTACCCCACATGATAAGCTATGCCACCAGTATTTTAAATACTAGCAGGGTCACCCATGGTGAACACATTTCAGCTGAGTTTCCAGACTAAGACAGACTAGGAAGAAGAAGAGACGGGCTACTTCTGAATATTTAGTCACTGAAAACCTTATGAATAGCAGTGGAATGCTGTCAGCACCACAATATTGAATACTGAAACGTAATGAAGATCACCGGAATACTGCTAGATGTAGGGCCGGAAGATGAGCTCCTCAGGTTGGAAGGAACTCAGAATGTGACTGGGGAAGAGCTACCTCCTCTAAATCGAGTTGACCATGATGGCGCAACTGGAGTAAAGCCTTCAGGACCTTTATTTACTGATGGGGCACAACTGAAAATAAGGAGAAACAGCTGTAAACATCTGTTAATAATCAGAGCATGGAATGTATGAATCTAGGAAAATTGAAAGTTGTTAAAAATGAAAGGGAAAGCATAAACATCGATATGCTAGTATTGGCCATTTTGGAGTTGATAATCACATGATGTACTATGCCGGAATGGAAAAATCGAAGAGGAGTGGCGTCAGATTCTTCATCAAAAAGAGTATTTCAGGATCTGTCTGAAGTACGACACTATCTGTGATAGGACAATAATACCCATACAACTACAAGGAAGATGAGTTAATACCACTTTATTCAAATTTATGCACCAACCACTTAAAGCTAGTAAAGATGAAATTAAAGAATTCTATCAACATCTTCAGTCTGAAATTGTATCAAGATGTATTGATAAGTACTGGCAATTGGAATGAGAAGATTGCAAACAAAGAAGGATCAGTAGTTGGAAAATATGGTCTTGGTGATAAAAATGATGCTGGAGATCACATGATAGAATTTTGCAAGACCCATGACTTCTTCATTGCAAATACCTTTTTAAAACAATGCAAAAGACGACTGTACACATGGACCACGGCACACAGCCACCACACATGGACCTCAACAGATGGAATAAACAGAAATCAAATTGACTACATCTATAGAAAGAGACGGTGGAAAAACTCCATATCACCAGTCAAAACAAGACCAGGGGCAGACTGTGGAAGTTCAGTCTGAAGATGAAGATAATTAAAAGACATCCACGAGAGTCAAAATATGACCTTGAACATCTCCCACCTAGATTTAGAGATCATCTCAAGAACAGATTTAATGCATTAGACACTAATGACCAGAGACCAAAGGTGTTGTGGGATGACATCAAGAACATCATACAGGAAGCAAGCAAAAGGTCATTATGAGTCTTCTCTTAATGAAAGAAAAGACCAAATTGGACATCAGAAGAGACTGAAAAGTGCTCTCCAGCCTAGAAATACTAAAGCAAATGGAATAAACAAGGAGGTAAAAAGAGCTGGATAGAAAATTTCAAAAGTCAGCTTGAGAAGACAAAGTCAAATATTATAATGAAATGTGCAAAGACCTGGAGTTAGAGAAACAAAAGGGAAGAACACACTCAACATTTCTCAAACTGAAAGAAGTGAAAAAAAAGTCACACCTTGAGTTGCAATACTGAAGGATCCTATGGGCAAAATATTGAATGATGCAGAAAGCATCAAAAGAAGATGGTCGATGTTGAACGATTTCTGAATAAAGAAGTCCAAGGTGCACTGAAGATGTTGGCAAAGAACAAGGTTCTGGGAATTGATGGAGTACAAATTGAAATCTTTTCAGCAAACTCAATCAGCACTGGAGGCATTCACTCCATAGATGCCAAGAAATTTGGAAGACATCTACCTAGCCAACTGACTGGAAGAGTTCCATGTTAGTGCCCATTCCAAAGATAGGTGACCTAATGGAATGTAGAAATCATCAATAAGATCATTAATAGGGCAGGCAAGGAAAATTTTGCTAAAGATAACTCAAAAACGGCTGCAGCAGCACATTGATGGGGAGCTACCAGGGTTCAGAATGGGTTCAGATGGGGGTGTAGAACAAGGGATATCATTGTTGATGTCAGATGGATCTTGCCTGAAAGCAGAGAACACCAGAAAGATGTTTACCTGTGCTTTCTTGACTGTACTTACTGTATTGTTGTTAGATACAGTCGAGCTTTCAATATGCAAAGACTTGATTGTGTGGACCATGACAAACTATGGACAACATTGCAGAGAATGAGGAACCTGTACATAGACCAAGAGGCAGTTGTTTGAACAGAACAAGGGGACACTGAATGGTTTAAAACCAGGAAAGGTATGTGCCAGGTTGTATTCTTTCACCATACTTATTCAATCTGTATGCTGAGTAAATAATCCGAGAAGCTGTATTATATGAAGAAGAACATGGCATCAGGATTGGAGGAAGACTCATTAACAACCTGCAATATGCAGATGATACAACCTTGCTTGCTGTAAGCAAAGGGGACTTAAAATACTTACTGAAGAAGATCAAAGACCACAGCCTTTGGTATGGGTTGCACTTGAATGTAAAGAAAACAAAAATCCTCAGAACTGGACTAATAAATAACATTAAGATAAATAGAGAAAAGACTGACGCTGTCAAAGACTTTATTTTGCTTGGATTCACCATCAACATTCATGAAAGCAACAGTCAAGAAATCAAACCATGTACTGCATTAGGCAAATCTGCTGCACAAGATCTCTTTAAATGTTGAAGAGCAAAGATGTCAGTATAAGAACTAAGGTGCACCTGACTCAGCCATGGTATTTTCAATAACCTCATATGCATGTGTAAGTTGGACAGTGAAGAAGGAAAATCATACAAGAATTGGTGTGATTGAATTATGGTGTTGGAGAAGAATATTAAAAGTATCATGGACTGTCAGAAGAACAAGCAAAGCTGCATTGGAAGAAGTTACAACCAGAGTGTTCTTTAGAAGCCAAGATGACCATATTTCAGACATATTTTCAGGAGGGACCAGTCTTTGGAGAAGGACATCATACTTGGTAAAGTGGAGGGTCAGAGAAAAAGAGGAAGACCCACAAGGAGATGAATTGGCACAGTGGCAGCAGCAATGGGCTCAAGTGTGGCAAAGATTGTGAGATTGGCACAGGATCAAGCAGCGCTTTGTTTGATCTGCACAAGGTCACTGTGAGTAGGTACCAGCTCGACCACATCTA